AGGTTATCCATGAATGCGAAACAATATGCTGGCACTGGGTCGGAGAGATTGAGATAAAGAGACTTGATTGAGCTGCCCAATTTGACCTAGAAGGGAAAAAAGGGAAAACAGAACAAACCAAATGCACATGACAAACCCTAGAAATTGAAAGAGAAGAGGGGAAAGAAACTAAGCAAGAGAAAATGAAAAAGGGATTAAACTAAGAGATTAGAGAGAATACGGCAACCTTAAGCTTGATATGGCAATTAGGCCTTCCACTGAAGGAATTACTGTTCTCCCATGCGAGAAGAACGGCTCCCCATTGGAAGAATTGTAAATTGTTGTTTGTTCCTTCAGTGTAGTTCAGTTTCCAATCAAGATTGGAATTTTTTTTTGGGTGAATTCAAAATATTTTTTGTCGTTGTTTAAAAATAAGAAAACATGTGCCCAGATTTTTTTCGCTCCCCACTTTTTCACTTCTAATTTAGTTTTTTTTTTCTATTTCTTTTTATATATTCAGCGGGCTAGCCCGCGGCCCGCGGCGGGGTTGTGTCAGGCTGTAGGCGAGCTGCCCCGCCCCGCCACGCCAAATGGTGGGTTTTGACTTTTGGTTGGCTGCGGGCCCGCCAACCCGTTTTGACATGTCTATTTACAAGTAAGGTAGAAATGAAGGCACTTGCCCTCAAAATACCAAACTGCCCCACTGGTTTCAAGGGTGTTCCCAAACTCACGCAAAATCATGTTTGGTGAAATGAGACTTTTGGTAAGTGTCTTCTTCGAGGTGGTCTATAGAAAAGCATTTTTCGGCCCTTTATACTTATTTCTGCTCAGCCCCTAACTCAAGTCACTTCTGAAGGGGCCCAAGTGATTAACAACCAGACCACTCCGCGAAATGACTTCATTGGAACTCCGGCCTCTGCTGCTGATCAAGCCAAGTCTGCCCATGTTGACTCCAGTCCACTCCCTTGAATCATTGTTGTGATGTTGTTTTGAACAATTGCACTTTGAAACTATTATTTTGAATGAATGATCTTTGTTATTTTCTCCTAACTTCATGTTTGTTTCATGTTGAATTGTTATAAGAGTATGTTCCCTTATTTTCGCAGTCAATAATCGACCATCACTCCATAAGAGACTGCGTGATTGCCACTGTAATGAAACATTGAATGAATTGAATTTTAACACAAGAACTGCATGAATTTATACCACACCATCACCTTAATCGACCCTCCGCTCAGTCCGTCCAATTGTAAATAACTTATCATCTTAATCAACCTTCTGCTGAGGTCGTCCAATTTCCAAAAACTCTAAGTAAAATTTTTTACTATAGTACCTTTCTAATCGACGCTCCACTGGGTTTGGATCTTCGAGCACTTGCCTAACATTGGTAGGATTGTTCAAAACAGGCGACCACCCAACTCGATAGCCTTAAATATGGTGGATTTCTTTCTTCGACCATTTTCCTAACCCAAAAGGGATGTTCAAAGCAAGTGACCACCAAGCCTAGTGACCTTGATCATGGTGGATGTTTTTTTCTTCGACCACTTGCCCACCTCAAATGGAATGTTCAAAACAAGTGACCACCCAACCTGGCGGCCATAATCATGATGAATTGTTTTTCTTTGACCACTTGCCCACTCCTAAACAGATGTTAAAAACAAATGAACACCCAGCCTGACAGTCTTAGTCATGGTGGATATTTTTTTTCGACCACTTGTCCACCCCAAAAGAGAATTTCAAAGCAAGTGACACACCATGTCCGGCGGCCTTAATTATGGTAGATTTTTATCTTCGACCACTTGCCGACCCCAAAAGCGATGTTCAAAACATGTGACCACCCAGCCTGACGGCCTTAATCATGGTGAATTTTTTTCTTCGACCACTTGCATGTTGGTGTTATATAATAAAAGCTTGACTTTGATTGATATTACACTTTTATCCTTGATGAATGAGAATCATGTTAGATTAAACAAGTTCTATGTTCTGTTGCTTTGAACTTAGATAAAATGGTTTATCACAGATAGACATAAGATCATTTTATCAGTCACTTGCGAAACAAAAATTATTAGTTCACAACCTAGATGAAAATGAACAAACCATTCCGAACAGTTGTAGTGTCAACAGTAGAGTTTATCTTGATTGATTAGTTGCACTAATACAATTATATATTGAACAGGATCCCAGAGAGTAACAATTTGTTTTATACTGATCGTCGTAAACAAACTTAAATCTCAGTTAATTACTGAGTTCTCTTGACTCGTAAGATATTAAACAGACATGTGCATGCAGTAACTATTACTTTGATTCGCTTGGGTGAGATTCAGTTTATTGTGTCAATATACTTACTATCTTGGTTAATATTATTGTATGGACGTTGTGCTGTTAGGTTTTTATGGTCACCATGTGCATTAGTTTGATGATGCCCTGAAGTGAGTTCATGAAAGATTGTTATGCTAAACCCTACAGGTGAATTATATTCCGGCATAATAATAATGCAATGAACGATGCTAGCTTTTGTAATATAATATATTAGCAGTAATCAAATTAATTAATGGACATTATATCTCAAAAAGAGTGAGGTAATTCGAATAATTATTATTGGAGTCTCAAATGTAATTTGGGATAGCAAAATAGAGTGCAATAATATTACGTAAGTGGATCATTATATTATTTAATTATTGGAGAGTGGCTAGGCTCACAGTTAGGTCCAATGCTTAAGAAGCCCTAATCATGTTCTCTTTAGGATTCCTACTGGCCCTAATCATGTTCTCCTTAGGATTCTTACCGTAACTCTATATAT